CAAAGAATTATTGGCAGCTAAATACTGCTGGGTGAGGAAGAGCTGATCTTGAAAGGAGAGACTCTAGACAGGCTGACTAAACCCCAGTGGACAAGCTTGCACTGAGGGGCACCTCAGGACACTAAATTTATATAATAGGCCTTAATACAAATGACAGAATGTGCCGGGAGTGGTGATGCATGTGAGAGGCCCTGGTTTCAATCCTCAGCACCCTCAAAACAAAACAAAACAAAACAAAACAAACAAAAACCCAAAGACATGTTTAGGAGTTAAATCAATGGGGCTTGGCAATTGATTAGGATGGGGTAAGATAGCCCAAATCCCAGGTCTGGCTTGAGTGTCTGGGAAGATGACATTGCTACAGAGATAAAGGTTTAGGGGGCTGTAACTGAGCTTAGTTTAGGACGAAGTATTGGCAGTAAATGGTATTTGGTGTTGGGGGACAGGCAGCAAATGATTGGCTATATGATTCTGAAATTCATTGGAGACAGTTGGCTGAAAGCAGGGACTGGGGAAGTATATAAACCAAAAGATAGATGAGCTCTCCAGAGAGAAGGCACAAGGAAAAGAACCTAGAGGAGGCCCAAGAAGAAAGAATTCTGAAGAACCAAGAGAGGGAGGCATCATGGAAGCCAGATGGAGGTTTCACAGGAAGAGGGAGCCATCAACCATGTCAAATGCAGCACAAAGGTATGATTACACAAAGACTGAAAAATAGCTTTCAATATTTGGGGTGTAGTTCCCTGGAAGAACTGCAGCTTAACATGTATAAGGCCCTGGGTTCCATCTCCAGCACCAAAAGGAAAAGAAAAAGGAAAAAGAAAGTAGCTGTTGAGTTGGGCAGCAATAAAGTCATTGTGCTCTTAGGATGGCATCGTGCAGGCTCGTTCAGCCATCACTCCCATTTATTCAATGACAAACACTGTTCCAGCATGTATCCTAAGCACACCCTCTTTCAAACACTCATCATAGCCATTCTCACCACCCCCACACACTCCTGCAGAATTTAAGCCATTCATTCTGCTTGTACCCAAATTTATTTGGAAATTAAAGGTGCACACTTGGATACTCCCATATTCGTCACTTGGGGATCCTTTCTCTTTGCCAGTGCCACATCAGCAGCAGCTAGAGCCAGTGAAGCTCTGTTTTGCAAAGGTGCTCATGAGAGTTAAACAAGTTATCTTGTTACGGTTTTAATCTCCTATGGGCAAAGACTCTGTTTTTCTGTCTCCTGATAGGGTTAATACTTCCTGAGGATTGTGGCATAATGCTGGATTTTTCCGATTCTACTATTGTCCTTGCCATGTCCTTAACATAACCTTTGGCCCTCAGATTCCCATGAGAAGTGTATCCACACTGATGAGAATCCACTGTGTATAAAGATTGAGATAGATCATTCTAGTCCCTATTTTCTAGTGATCTTGACACAGAAGTGCATACAATAAGGAGGGGGGATGCACAATGGTACAAATCTTCCAGAAAGTAGAAGGGGATAGGACACAGAACCCAACAGGGAGGGTGAGCCTCAAACAGGACCTCTCTTTATTGAGCCACAAGGAATGGATAGCGTGAGTAGAGACAATTTTGGAAATGATGAGAGGGGTAACATTGACTTTCTGACTTTCATTTGCTCTAAATATAGTTCTTAAGTCAGAATCCACTGAACTCTGGAGAGTCAGTAAAGAAAATTCAAAGAGCTTATGGATTTGAGTGTGGGGGAAAAAACTGCATATTTATTTTCACTCACCAAGAGAAATGGATCATGTCTTTCTAGATGGTGTGAATAACAAACTATAGTGGTATTAGTTCTTGTTTTTGTGACTTTGTCACCAATAGAAATCACATTTTAGGTGTGATGGCATACACCTTTAATCTTAGCATAGGGAGGCAGAGGCAGGCGGATGTCTGTGAGTTCAAGGCCAGCTTGGTCTACATAGTGAGTTCCAGGCCAGCTGGGGCTACAGGGAGACCCTGTCTCAAAAAGACAAAAAAATTTTTTTAAGTGTGTGTGTGTGTGTGTGTGTGTACAGGTGTGCACACCCATGTAGAGACCAGAGGAGGATATCGAGTTGTCTTCCTCTATCACTCTCCACCTTATTTCCTTGAGACAGGGTGCCTCACTGAATTTGGAGCTTGAGCTTTTTTGGCTAAACTGGTGGCCAGCAAGCCACAGCAATCCTCCTGTCTCTGCCTCCCATACTCCACACAGTGCTGGGGTTACAGGCATATGAGGCCACACCTGATATTTTATATGGGTGCTGGGGATCCAAACTTAGGTCCTCATGATTGCATAGCAGACACGTTTACCTACTGAGCCATTGCCCAAGCCCAGAAATCAGATATTTGTAGAACACATGTGTGGTGTTATATATCTCCTCTCAAAATCATATTATTATTTCAAAATCATGATAGTCACTAGTACTTTAATCCCGAGTGCTGGGATTAAAGGTATGCGCCACCACGCCTGGTGGATGTGGTTTTATTTTAGCAATTGTATTTCAATAAAACTGGTCTCTTTCATAATCATATTTGTTTTATAGAATACATACCTTGTTCTGGGAAGCGATTCTCTAGACTTTGCCAGGCTTCCAGATGTGTCTATAGCATAGGAAAGACTAAGAAAGAGCTGGATGTGGTGGTACGTCCCTTTCATCCCAGTACTCGGGAGGCAGAGGCAGGCAGATCTCTGTGAGTTCAAGGCCAACCTGATCTACAAAGTGAGTTCCAGGACAGCTGGGGCTACAGGGAGACCCTGTCTCAAAAAGACGAAAAAAAAAAGAAAGAAAGAAAGAAAGAAAGAGAGAAAGAAAGAAAGAAAGAAAGAAAAGAAAACGACTAAGAAACTCTGCTCTGAAAGAACGACAGTAGCAAACTTAATAGAACTTTCTACAGGCTAAGAGCTGTTTTAAGTCCTGTTTTTTTTTTTTTTTCTTACATACTTTTGTTTTCAGGCGGGCTCATGTAGCTCAGGCCCAGTATGTAGCCAAGGATGGCCTTGAACTCCTGATCCTCCTCCCTCAGCCTCCTGAGTCATTGGGATTATAGTTGTATACCATCACTCCTAGCTAGAAGTACTTTTTGCTTAACGTTATAGTATATTCTGACAGAATATTCTCTGGTACTTAGCAGGCAATAAACCTCCCAGGTTTATTTGCTTTATTTATTTACTTGGTCAGCGTCAACACAAGTGAATCCATTTTTATTTTAATAACCCTACTTTTTTGCATACAGGCAGGCTACATTTTGGCATTGGGCAGTGAACTGGTAAACCAGCAGAAGATCCTGGGGCTTACCTTCCAAAGGAGAACTATACATATAGGCCAAGTTAGACCACAGCACACAGAGTACAAAGACTCACAAGTCTTTAGGAACAATGCCACAGTACCAAAAGTTCTGAACATGGGTTGTTTTTCATACTTTCAAACAAACCCAAACACACACTAAGTGACAAAAAACTGGCCTGAAGTAGTGTGAGACTATAAAACAAGAATTTCACACAATGTGAGATTTCATGCTTTTAACTTTAGAGTGTTTTTTCCACTTTCAATGTTTTAATGTTTAATTAAGGTCCTAAAACTTTCTCAGTAGTTATGTAGGTAGTATGGAGTTATGTAGCATAGTTAATATAGGATATGCCTTCCATCAGGGCACATGCCTTCCATCAGGGCACAGGCCTGTAATCCCCCCACTTAGGAGGAATGAGGGTCAGGAGTTCAAGGTCATCCACAGTTCGAAATCACCCTAGCCAACTTGAGACCCTGTCTCAAAAGTCTCAACAACAACAAAAAGCTGGGTGCTGGTGGTGCCTGCCTTTAATCCCAGCACTCAGGAGGCAGCGGCAGGCAGATCTCTGTGAGATCTGGCAAGTGCCAGGCAAGCTGGAGCTACGGGAAGACCCTATCTCAAAAAGACCAAAAATTAAATAAATAAATAAATAAATAAATAAATAAATAAATAAATAAAATGAAGATAAACATACATACACAAACACATGCACATAAACACATTCACACATGCAGATACACACGCACGTACACATAAACATACACAAATACACACAGAAGCTATAGGCAGACCCTATCTCAAAAAAAAAAAAATAATAAAAATAAAAATAAAGAAATTAAAAAAAAATTAAAGCTAGACATGCTCGCTATGCTATAATCCCAGGCTGTAGCCCCAGCTGGCCTGGAACTTGCTATGTAGACCAGGCTGGCCTCGAACTCACAGACATCCGCCTGCCTCTGCCTCCCAAGTGCTGGGATTAAAGGTGTGCGCCGCCACGCCCTGCTAGACCTTTAATAACAGTCTGTGGATGAGATCCAGTCTACAAAGTGTGATCTGGCCTTTTGGACTTAAACTACATTCAACATAGAAGAAAGTTGCAAAGGATGATCTGACAGTTTTGCTTCTCTGAGTTTGCTTCTCAGAAGCACCTTTTTCAGAATGTCTGCTTCCTAAAGTTTCTTTTTCCTAGGGACTCTCCATATCCATAATTGTAAATACTGTCTGGCCTCTATCTCTGCCTTATATTTCTCTTTGGTGCCTCTCTGTATCTCAAAATCTCCTTTTTCTTTTCTCCAATCTCATCATCTCTGTGTTCTGATATCTGGGCTGTTTGTAGCTTAAGGGTATTTTAACATGTACAAGGTCCTGGGGTTTGATTTCATCACTGAAAAAAAAATCTGTCTCTGTTTCATGTCTGGCATATAGGAATCAATTTCATCTATACTTGAAAGCTTTACTGAGAAAGGGGCTCAGTTTCCATCTTCCCCCTTTCTTCCTCTGGTGGAACTGGCCTCCGGTCAAACGGCTAGCTAGAGAGCAGGGCGACGTGGGGGATGGTGGTGGTGGTATTGTGCAAGTGTCATTAGGTTTTCTCCAGAAGAAATGGTCCTGGAACTCCGGACGGTGACTTTTCCCTCTCCTAGGTCCCGGCGCAGCAGGCCACGCCCCTACACCCCTGGCAGCCCCGGTTCCACCAGGTAGGCGGCTCCGACTCAGCCAATCAGCGAGCGCTTGTGCAAAAGGGACAAAAAGCCCTCCTCCCTTGGCGAGGCCGGTGCAAGATGGCTGCGGCGTGTCGGAGCGTGAAGGTAGACTTTTCTGTGCCTTTAACGTTTGCTCCTTTCTACAGGCTGGGATCGCGTGGCAGGGAACTAGAGAGGAGAGCGGTGCCTGGAGAAAGGGTCATGTGTGTTCCGACCTGATATTGAGTTGGGCTTTGTAAAAGGTGAACGTCGACACGCAAATGCTTATGTATGTGGGGGTCACAGGCTTGTCTGGGATGAGACCCCCACCCCGGAGAGGATGTACACCCGCGTCACAGACAGCCCCCACTTCTCAGAAGTCCAGAACTGGCAAGTGAGAGTGGGGGTGGCTTGGACAGTAGCAGCTGACCGTGTCCCCTTTCACAGGGCCTGGTTGCAGTAATAACTGGAGGAGCCTCGGGCCTTGGCCTGGCTACGGCGGAAAGACTGGTGGGACAAGGGGCCACAGCTGTACTTCTGGACCTGCCTAACTCGGGGGGCGAAGCCCAAGCCAAGAAGTTAGGCGAGAGCTGCGTGTTTGCCCCAGCCAACGTGAGTCACCTGTCCCATGGTGTGCATCAGCCCACTACAAACCTGGGCTTCTGTTCGGGTTCTACCTATAAGAATGGTCTGGGGCTGGGGAGATAGTGCAGCAGGTAAAGACTCTTGCTGCCAAGTGTGACGACCTGTAGCGTGTTAGGTGAGACTTTACTCCGGAAAGTTGTCCTCTGACCTCTGCACACGTAATGCACACGCATGTGCACGGGCACACACATAAATGTAATAAAAATTTGTTTTCTTAAAAAGTGTGCTGTGTACAACTGGTCATGGTGGCGAATGCCTTTAATCCCAGCACCCAGGAGGCAGAGTCAGGTGGATCTCACTGAGATCCAGGCCAGCCTGGTCTACATAGTGAGTTCCAGGTCAGCTGGGACTACAGGGAGACCATGTCTCAAATATAAATATAGCATGCGCCATTGTGTGTGTGTGTGTGTGTGTGTGTGTGTGTGTGTGTGTGCGTGCGCGCGCGCGCGGGAGCACCTGTGGTAACTATAAGGTGAGCATGATGGGGATTGGACATACCAGAAATTTTGGGAGGAAATAGGTATACTTTAAAATGCATATTGTGCCCTGTGGTTTTATATTTGCAGTTGAAAAACTTGAACTCAGCAGGTAGGGACACAAAAAGAGCTAGTTTATGTTCCTATCAGTAATTCTCGAAACAGGGTTGTATGGGAAGATAGCTCAGTGGTAGGGTGCTTACCTAGCATGTGGGAGGCCCTGGGTTTAATTCTCAGTACTGCAAAAAAAGAAAAAAACAAAAGCAGGGTTTTATAATGTCCTAATTCACAGCAACCAAGAGTTACCAGGGGCATATGAGGTTACCAAGAGTATAGATTTGAAAAAATGCAACACTGTTCTGTAGTACCTAACATTTCCCTTTCACCCCACTTTCTTATCTCTTTTTATCACAACTCTCTCAGGCTTCCATTTTGCTTGCACAGTTCTCTTCCCATCCAAAGACTGGGCCTGTCCTCCCCTCCCCTCCTCTAGGTTTAGTGGTGTGTATCCTAAGAAATGAATACCTTTCCTCCATGTCTCCCCCTAAAGGTGACCTCTGAGAAGGACGTACAAACAGCTTTGACTCTAGCAAAAGAAAAGTTTGGTCATGTAGATGTGGCTGTCAACTGTGCAGGTGTTGCAGTGGCCATTAAGACCTACAACCAAAAGAAGAACCAGCCCCATGTCTTGGAAGACTTCCAGCGGGTTATCAATGTAAGGCCTTGCAGGAACTCCAGGGGCAGGAATAAGAGGCGTCTGGCTGTGGGTACTCACAAAGCTTTTAGAGAAACTAAATGGAGTTTGTCATAGATCCTACACCATGGCTCTACTCATCCTCCAGGTGAATCTCATAGGCACTTTCAATGTTATCCGCTTGGTTGCTGGTGTGATGAGCCAGAATGTACCAGACCCCGGAGGCCAGCGTGGAGTAATCATCAACACTGCAAGTGTGGCTGCCTTTGAGGGCCAGGTATGTGGGCAGTGGGCAGTGCTTGTTTCTCAGTGACTTGTTGGGGGCTCTCTCACCTATGACCTTCACTTTCTCCAGGTTGGACAAGCTGCGTACTCTGCATCCAAAGGGGGCATAGTGGGCATGACACTGCCCATTGCTCGAGATCTGGCTCCTATAGGTATCCGTGTGATGACTATCGCTCCAGGTAGACATATCCCTGTATTTTTTGCCATACTTAGCATTGGGTGGGATCTTTGGGCAGTTGGGGAGAAGGTATCCACTACCTAAACATCAGCTTAGCAGTAAAGAAGGAAGAACCAAGTGACCGAAAACAAGAATGAGTCCTTTACTCTGGTACTCTTGTCTAGGTTTGTTTGCCACCCCACTGCTGACCACTCTTCCAGAGAAAGTACGCAACTTCTTGGCCAGCCAGGTACCCTTCCCCAGCCGACTGGGTGACCCTGCTGAGTATGCTCATCTGGTACAGACCATAATCGAGAACCCATTCCTCAATGGAGAGGTCATTCGGCTGGATGGGGCCATTCGCATGCAGCCTTAATGGGAGAAGGCAGGGAAAACACAGGCTCCTGTGCCACCCCACCTTTCCCTGGAGTACGTACAACTTTTCAGTTTGGGGAGAACCTAACAGCCATTTTGTAATTCTGCTCACCAGTCACCCTCTGTGCCTAATAAAGTCTCACTCTCACAGGATGTGAGTAGTCTCGTGTGCTGGGGGAACTGACATATGGAAGGAAGGTGAAGGCTCTGAAAGCAATGGATACTTAAGAGCCCCAGGATGGAGTGATGGGAAAGGCAGCACCTCACACTTACTGTGTTCTGTTACAACACATTTTAATGGATAACTTTATTAGCTAGAGTAGTAAGCTTATTGATGTCTTATTGGGGAGATATTGGAAGTGGGGATATGCAGCGTTTTCTTTCCTTTGACTCCTAGCCATCTGTGAGCTTGATAGAAGGGAGAGAGATGATCATCTTGAGTTCAGTAGCTGCTCTTGTTGAACTGTAGGTAATACTGGGCTATAGGTTGATTGCTATAGATGATTGAATTCAGGTAGTTCTGCCTGTGAAAGTTCAGAGGCCTCAGCTAATGTGCTTTCCCTCTCCCCCTGGTCCTTGTTATCCCTTCCCACCCTCTCTTGGCCTTTATCCCCACTACTACACTCTGGAACTCACTGGGTTTGTTGTTCCTTAGCTGATTCCTGGTTGAAGGAGCCCAGCCCCCTTCGCAACTCAGCACACAATTCCCTTTCCCGTTCTTCTAGCTCCAGTACTTCTTCAGCCAAGCATATGCTCTGGCTTCCCCACTTGGCATCCAATGCCTTTTCAGCTTGGTGCAGTTCCTTTTTCTCACAGCGCTGTACTTCCTGGCCTTTCCTGATGGTAGCTCCCTGCTTTGATGTCTTGCCCTTCAGGTAAAACGGCAGGACCCGTTGGAGAGCCTGGGGCAGTTGGGCAGCTTGAGAGTTCTTAGTCAGTGGGTCACTCTTAATTCGGTTCTTGACCTCCATGAGGTTGGCCTTCTGTCGTTGCTGATGTTCATGGCGCTGCTTCTGGGCCTGCTTAGCTGCCTGGTGGGACCCCCAAACATAAGCATTTGGGTGGCCAACCTTGGGAAACTCAGTTGAAGGGGTGGGGAAAATATGGTCCTATTCCTCCATCTTAGGGAGAAGGGTGAGGCACTGCATGGACTTTTAATGACCCTAAAGACATGGAGAAGAGGGATACAATGGCCAGGGTATTTCTCTGCATTCAGGAAGGCCTTCGGATGAAAGGGCAATGCTCTGTTCTGTTCTTAAGTCATCTGTATCTGGAGGGAGGGAGGGAGGTGACTTATACTCTAAAAGGATCTTGGGGATTAGGTCAAAAGAGAGTTCTTAGGTAGATGAGAATAATGGTGCTGGTTTGAAAGGGGTATGAGCAGAAAGATGTGGTTAAGGCTCCCTGGGACTTTGTTCAAGGAATTGGGGAGGGCCCAGTGCACTGGGATGGTTCAGGCCATACCTTGGCTCTCTTGGCATTGGCCATAGCAATCCTCATGGCTACACGACAGGATTCCTCCAGCCTGGCCAGCTCAGCAGCCCGTGTATCCATGGCTAGGTGCAACTGGTCACTGAGCAAAGCTACACAGAGAAATAGGGCCAGGGCACCATACTGGCCTGCTCCAGTCCTCATTCCCTATTCAACATACTTTGTATCTGTTTGTGTGTCGCGCGGCATGCGAGCGTGCTTGTGAGGGAGCTAATGTGGAAGTTGTAGTGGGAAGGAGCTATTCTTTGAAATTATGGGTAGCCAAGACGCAGCAACTTGGTCACAATGTAACTGTGATGTCTGAGCTGTGTGGCCCTAGGTAAAGCATTTCATCTCTCTAAGCCTCAGTCTAAAAGGCTATTTGTTGGGTTCTGAAGACACCACAGAATTAGATTGTGTTTCAGAGAACTCCTTTTCTACTCCGGTGTGATGATGCACTTAGGTGGTGGAGGCACTTATGTGGTTGACCCTGTCTCAACTCCCACCACCACTACCAACCTCCCTATCTAGTGGGGGAGTCAGATCAAATAGATAATCAGACCACCATCTGATAAGGTAAGGCTGATGACAGGGATATATACAAAGCATATTAAAGGCTTTGAGTTTGGGGATATAGCCAGTAGTACAGGATAAGCAAAGTTACTAACATTGTTTCCTACTCTAGCCACACACGGACTTGCTGTTTTCAGGACCTGACAGACACTGGTGATTTGGAAGGTGAACAGTGTGAGTAGATAAGACACGGCCTGGAAAGGTTTTCTGTAATGTAGAAGAAAGATGTGGCCACGAACAGTATCAGAATATTAGTTGTTATTCTGCATGATATAGATTGTAATTCCTATTTTGGATGAAGAAACAGCTGCCAAGGTGGCACATGCCTGGAACCCCAGCAATCAGGAGGCTGAGTTCAAGACTCTGTCACCAAAAAAAAAAAAAAGAATGAGAGAAACTGAAACTGAAATACAGAGAGGAACATCCATTTGCTCAAAGCAGCAGCAGAACTGTTAAGTGTGTACACATACTGCCCCCACCCACCCTCCTGTAACACAGTGACAATGTAATCATTGATAATGGCCACACTGTCAGTTGCTGAAGGAAGTCAGAGAAGTTAGGGCTGTGCAGATTAAACTTTCCACATCAACTCTGGGGGTACCTACCTCCCCACACAGTTCTGGCCTCCTGGGTGCTGTCTTTAAATCAGGTGAACTCCCTACCAGACTTTGAATTTCAGCCCAGAGAGCCTGGCTACGTACCTACACGTGTCTCCTCTTCCTTGACTTCCTGTTGTTCCTGCACCTGCCTCTCCAGGTAGCACATGAACTGCTCCTGCTGCATTCTTGAGTGTAAGGTCCTGTCTAGGTTTTTCCCAAGGAGAGAGTGCATGGTGGGTAGGCCATAGTTTGGGTTACTCTTATACAAAGGGCTTGGAAACTCCTGGAGTTGATCTGGATCCCAACGGTCACATTCATAGCCACTTCTGAGCTGTTGCTTCTGCTCCCGAAAATCCTGCAGTGTTTTGGACAACCACCATGCCCGTTTTGCCTCTTCCTTTTGTAGCATCTGTGCTACCAGATCACATTGTGCATGCTTGGTACCTAGGGGTGATGGGCAGGAACATGAAGGCACCATAAGAGGGACAGAGCGCAGTCACCCTGGCCTCTGTTCCAAGGTCATCTGATTTGTCTTACGACTCCAGGGCTTTAGGCTCCATTCAGAGGCAGAACTACCCTACTTCAGCCCACTTTCTCTCCTTTACCCCTTTGTCTGGCCCCAGCCTTGGGTCTTTACCATCAGCCATCTCATTGCTCTGCTCTGTTGACTCCTGAAGTTTTTGCTCCTCTACCTGGTAGCTTCAGCATCCACCTGGATCTCAAAGAAAGGAGCTAAATCAGTGAAGGGGTTCAGCATGGGGCCCTGAAGCCTTTAACAGAAACTGCTTAGAGCTTATTCCCTTCAAAATCCTCCTATAGCTCCCCATGACCTACTGGATAAGTTCCAGCTCCCGAGCACAACATGTAAACATCTCCATAGTCTAGCTGCTGTTTTTGCCTTAATCTTTTTGTACCTCCTTTCCCTGTCTCCTCTCACATTAGCCTTAGCTCTACTTCTAGTTCTCTGCACATCTTAGGCTGTTTCAAACCCATAGCCTTTGCTCAGACTGTTTCCTCCCACCCCTTGGAACAACGCTTTAAGTTGCTCCTGTCAGGTATTTTGTCACAGTAACAAGAAAAATAATATGAAGTAGCCTTGCAGAAATACCTTAGGTATATGTAATAACAAATATTCTTTACACCCTTTTTTTGGCTTCCTCCTTGTTGTCGCTCTAAGAACTGACCACATGTCCCAAAGCTGACCAGAGGAGAGCCTGTTGTCACCCAATCACTTCTGCACAGCCCCATCTCTCCTCCCAAGCCTTGCCCAGGTCTATGCAGTAGGTTCCCTAGGCCCTGTCTTTCTAGCCCTATGACCTGCTTGAATCAGGAGGGGTTGTAATGAGTGAGCACAGCCACATTCCTTTCTAGGCATAAGAAGGAAGTCCTGTGAAGTAGCTTCCATTACCCACTCACCCCCATGACTCTGTCCTGCACATTGAAGAATTGGCTTTGTTTATCTCTCGAGTCCTTCTAGCTTCAATGGCTGCTATCCCCTTGGGATCTGGTATGTAGTCTACCTTATACAGCTGAAGCAAGAAAGTGGAATAGTCCATAAACGCTGACCATGCCTTACCTCCAGTCCTTTCACCCTTACAATATCAGCTGTGATTTTACCTCCTGGTGTTTCATATATGTCCATCTCTGCTGTCACTACCCAAATTCAGGCCTCACAATGAAAATCTAATGTCAGGCAATATTCCCAGAAGCCTTGCTGGCCCCTGTTGCTCCAATGTTATCCTCTCTGCCTTGGCAGTCAGATCTGGCCATTACACTCCTCAAAACCTTTGTAAGCGGCTTTAAAACAAATGTCTCCCTGGTGTTTACAAGGCCCATCCCCTTTTGTCAGCACTACAAAGGCTGGGGCAGGAAGATCATGAGTTTGAGGCCAGTCTGGACTACACATAGCAAGACTTTATCTCAAAATACAAACAAGAAAACTTTAAAAAATTATTCTTAGATTCTTACATATACAGTATCTAAATATTAGAGAGGTGCGGTATAGTGTGTGGAGTGTGCATAGTGTGTGGAGTACTCTTTGAGACAAGACACTTCAATGGGAGTGATAATTTCTGTATATTGGGAAGGTTGTTGGTGATAGGGTTTTACTATGTTACCTAGGCTGACTCAGAGTTGTAATACTCCTGCACTAGCCTTCTGAGCACTGAGATCACAAGCAGGCAACACTATTCCTACCTTAGGTTGAGAAGTTGGTTCATGGATTTCTATTTTGTCATGCTTGCAAACATTCAAACTGGTTATTGGAGATTACAGCTATAGGGGGACATGAACATCACATACAAAGGCCCTATGATGAAGATAACTGTGTTGGGGTACTTGAAGAAAGGCCAGTGTGCCAAGAGCATTATAGCCAAGGGAGACAGTGGCATGAAACAAACTGGGAAAGTATACAGGAACTAAATCTTAAAAGCCTAAAGTAAGTGGGCTGGAGATGTGGCTCAGTTGGTAGAATGCTTGCCTACCATGAAGCTCTGGGTTCAATCCATAGTACCATACAAAACCTTGGCTGTGCATGCCTATAATGCCAGCAGTTAGGGGTGGTAGAGGCAGGAGGATTGGAAGTTCAAGGTCATCTTCAACTACAGAGTGAGTTCAAGGCCAGCTTGGGCTACATGAGACCCTGTTTCAAAAAACTGTCTCAAGGTCTTGAGATTGCTCAGTGAGTAAAGATACTTGTTAATGAATTTGAATCTAACTCAGTGAAATAGGAAGCCAATGGAGAATTTCAATCAGATGGGAGATAAGAGACATGACCATATTTATGCTTGCAAAAGTTTGTTGGTTTTTATTTTTTTGTCTGACTTGTGTGCCAAAAATGGGCTTCCCAAACTGTCAAGGAACACAGGCTAATTTAAATCATCTAGACTTCTATCTGACTAGAAAACAAGTAATAAAAATAAAGGGGAAATTTTATTTCAGAAAAGAAAGCCTCTGGCCTGCCTGTGTGACGAGTGGGCAACAGGAAACAACAGAGAGGAAGCCAGCAGGCCAATATGGAGACCACTGCAGTCATCCAGAAAGATAAGGATAGTGGCTTTGACAAGGGCTATTTTGAAAGAAGAGAGAATGAGGTGAAGACTCAGTAGGTAAAGTACTTGTGCAAGCATGAAGACCTGAGTTCAGAACCCTAGCACTCACATAAAAGCTAGGCATTGTTTCTCCAGGAGAGAAGCTCAACTGCCATCTTGATTTTAGCCCAGTGAAACCCAGACTTTTATTTTCCAGAACTATATGAAAATAAAATTTTTATTGTTTTATGCCATTAAGTTTGACGTGATTCATTATAGCAGCAACAGGAAATAAATACAACTTCTCAGCCAACATTTTTTGGAAGACAGAGACTGATGTTTATCTATAGCTGTGCTGCCCACTATGGTAGCCATTAGTCCTGTATAGCCATTGAGCACTTGAAGTGAGATACATTGAGTTGAATACAATACTGAGATCACAAAAGGGTGAGGGAGATGGCTTAGTGTGTAAAGGTGCTTGCCACCAGGCCTGAAGAGTTGAATCCCTGGGATCCACATAGTGGGGTATGCAGCAATGGGAATGGAATGGTAGAGAAACAAAACGGGAGAGTTAGAACAGGGAGAAGGGGAAAAGGAACGGAAACAAAGCTTAAGGATCGTGACTCTTGGGGGTTTGCACAAGACACCGTAAGGGATCCCAATCTTCAGGCTCCTAGGATGGATTTGTGTCCAAGATGGCTCTTGAGCCAACCGCAGTCTTTAAGTTCTGCTTGGAGGAATAAGAGAGGGGCAGGCGACGGGGGCAGTATCTCAAAGCACAGCCTTCCCCAGCTTGTATCCTGGTTGCTCCCTTCACACTTCAGTCTGCCTCCAATCTCACTTCACCTAAATCTTCCCACAGATCCCTCCTTCCAGTCCAAACCGGATCCCGCCCCCAAGAGGTGTCTCCCAATTCCCAGCCCAGTCCCCGCCTGAGCTCTCAGGCAGGTACACTAAAAGTCACAGCAGAGTTCTCGCCTCCCACTGACCCTAGGAAAGCGGGGAACGCATAACCTTACTATGATTTTTGACTTGTCTCAGGAACCGTGGGCTCAAGGTACTGCCTGCTTGCCTGCCTTCTCAGATACCAAAGCGCTGAGTCCACCTGAGCTCTAAGTCTTCTACAACTGAGTTGGCTGAAGCAGTGTTGTTTTTTTTTTGTTGTTGTTGTTGCTATGCAACAACAAAGGGGGGCGGGGTCTAGACGAGTCTCCCACGTTAGACCAGGACTGTGGATTGTCAACTTCAGATGGAAGTACCCGCCCTGAATTCCCGCTGGAGCCGGAAGCCGGAAGTCCCGTTTGGATTGAATTTACTATCGCGAGGTTTTCCGGCCGCCCGGCTTGCACTGCGGCGTTTCCCGCGCGTGATAACCTCAGCTCCCAGGCGTACGACGCGGCCTCTCCTACGCCAGCGCTGCCGCCATGGGTTTCCTGAAACTGATTGAGATCGAGAACTTTAAATCCTACAAGGGTCGACAGATTATCGGACCATTTCAGAGGTTCACCGCCATCATTGGACCCAATGGCTCTGGTGAGAAAAATCCTGCAGCCCTGCGTGCGTTAGGGTCAGGACCCCCCCCCCCATCTGCCGCCACGTACCCACATATGACCTGGAACGCTGTGAACCCTAAAAGGTTGCTTACCCCTCTTTGGGTGGTTTTGTTCAAACTCACTTTGCCCCCTGGCATATTCTTACTCGAATTCCTTCCCCAAATGTCAGTTGTCAGAGTTTGCTGCGGCCCCCGCTCAAGCCCAAATGGTATGGGCCGAGCTGTGCGTTGCTCCGCCGCTGCCCCCTCTAGCCAAAAAAGGCGCGTCTGAAGCCAACTGCCAGCTGCTGGCCCGCGGCTCCCTTCCGGTCTGCTTTGTTCCAACTTCCTGGTCTTGTTTGACCCTTCCAGAAAGTGGAGTAGCTGGTAACTCTACTGTGGTGTCAGCTCCAAACTGTACTCTTCTGCTTTAGCCATCCCCCCCCCGCAGTGGTACGCTCCAATTCCTTTTTTTCTTGTCAGCGGCACTTTTGAATTTCAGACCCTACACTCCAGTCTTCAGAGTGTTTAGAGTTCGTATCTCCGCAGCCCCCACCCCCCCCCAGATTGTTGCTTTGAACTTGCCTTTTTCCTACCATGGAAGCTGTCGTAATAATCCTGAACGTGTTTGCTCGCTGAATTTGTTCAATGTTTTTATGTTTATCAAGAGTTGCTCAAGTTCATGCAGAAACAGCAGAAAATAAACGAAATCCATGATCTCAGGGAACTTTAGGAGAAAGAAGATAAAGTACAAAATGAGATGATTTTTAGACCATTATAAATGTTCTGCAGGAAATGGGTTAGGTTGATGTGATAGAATTACTTACTTGGGTGGTGTGTCTGGGAAATGATAGGTAAGCCTCTATTTCATATCTTAACTCCTTATATTTTTATTTTTATTTATTTTTTGTCTTTTTGAGACAGGGTCTCCCTGTAGCCCCAGCTGTCCTGGAACTCACTGTGTAAACCAGGAAGGCCTCAAACTCACAAAGATCCGCCTGCCGCTGCCTCCCAAGTGCTGGGATTAAAGGCGTGTGCCACCATGCCCAGCAACTCCTTATATTTTTAAAAAATATTTTATTTTATGTGTATGAGTATATTGCCTGCATGTATGTAAGTGCACCCATGTGATGCAGTGCCCATGGAGATCAGAAGAGGGCATCGGATCCCCGGTAACTGGAGTTATGGATGGTTTTTATTCCCCATGTGGGTACTGGGATTTGAACCTGGGTCTTCTGCAAGAACAGTTAATGCTCTTAACTGTTGAGCCATCTCTTCAGCCCCTTAACTCCTTTAAATTCTGTTCTGAGTTCCTCTCACCTACTCCTAGAAATGTGCTTTGGGAATCTTGACTGTACCTCCACCTCAGAGATGTTCTAACTCATTCATTTTTCTAGTCTGACTGGCCACCTTTGCTCATAGTGAATGCCTTCGTTGGAGTCTTGCCAGGGTTTTCCTCTGCTTACAGCAAGGTTTCCCAACACTGGTATACATTCAGTGACATACGTTATGTGGGGGTCAGACCTGTGCATTGTAGGACATTTGGCAGTATCTCTGGCTTCTACCCACTGGATGATACCTCCGTTCCCTATGTATGACCATCAAAAATGTCTCCAGACCTTGCCAGTGTCCTGGGGGTGGACTGGGGGGAGTGACAAATCACTGTGTGTAAGTGTATCCCCTGGATGTATGTACGTTCACCCGTGTCATGCAGTGGCTGCAGAGGTCAGAAGAGAGCTTCAGATCCCCTGGAACTGGAGGGTTGCTGGCCACCATGTGGATACTGGGAACTGAACCTCGGTCCTCTACAAGAATAGCCAGTGGTTGCAATCACTGAGCCACCTCTCCAGCCCTCTTCCACTCAGTTTTTACATTTTTGATTTTGTGACCCCTATAGGAACCATTTGGCGAAATTCAGTCCCCTCAACATTGTTAGAATTACAATCCAGCTGCTTTGAAAAGGCCCTTCTCCTGACTCCTGACTCCTTGTTCCCTTATCTTCTTCTTCTTCTTTTTTTTTTTTCTTTTTGGTCTTTTTGAGACAGGCTCCCCCTGTTACCCCAGCCAGCTGACCTGGAATTCCTATGTAGACCACACTGACTCACAGAGATCTCCTTGCCTCTGCCTCCCAAGGCTGGGATTATGCCTGGTGGCTCCTCCCTTATTCATTTGATTTTTTTGGTTTTTGTTTGTTTGTTTGTTTGTTTTTGAGACAGGGCTTTACAGCCTTGAATTCCTAATCCTCCCACTTCCATCTCCCAAATACTGAGATTACAGATGTGTGTCACCACACCTGCCTGGTTCTTTCTGATCACCAAAGCCTATCTCTATAAAGTATTCCTTTTTAAAAAATAGATATTTAGGGGCTGGAGAGGTGGCTCAGCAATTAAGAGCACTGACTGCTATTGCAGAGGATCTGAGTTCGATTCCCAGCACCCACATGGCAGCTAATAACTGTCTGTAGCTCCAGTTCCAGGGGATCTGACTCCTGACCTCTGCAGGCATTGCACGACATGGGTGCACTTACACACGTGGAGACAATACACTCACACATAAAATAGAAATAATAAATAAAATACAGAAAAATAGATATTTAATTTTTTAAAACTTTTTTTTGGGTTGTTGTTAATTATGGGAGGGGGGTTGTCTACACATTGAATTCCAAACTGCAGTTACAGATAGTTGTATGTTGTGGGTACTGGGAATCAAATTTGCAGGAGCATACATGCTCTGAACGGCTAAGGCGACTCTCCATCCCCTACAATGCAGTCAGTCCTTGATCCTTGATTCCAGTCCCTTTGTAAATTGTTCTCTCTTGTACATGGATTGTTCATACTTATTTTTTTCTGTCACATAGTCATCGCATATGTTTTGTATCTTCATGCCTGTGTATGAGTGTCCTCAAGAAAGCATTCCTTGAAATGTTTTATTGGTGTGTGGTTCATATTATATATTAGGAAAATGTTTACAACAATGAATGATTTTGAGTAAAAGAGGCTTGTGGTTGTTCTTATCATTCCTTATTATTCCTTATTATCATGTTCTTATCATTCCTGGAGATCAAGAGAGAAGCCCAGAGACTGGAAATTGGGGCTTAAAAGCCTGAATTTTAGCTGGGAATATGATATTCTTTCATGATCTCTGCAGGCTTTGCACGCACATGGCGTACTTACATACATGCAGGCAAAACACTCATATACATAAAATCAAAATAAATAAAAAGTTTTAAATGGTTTTAACCGAATTAATTTGAATAGAGCATTCTCAAAAGAAAAAATTCAGGTGGCTGATAAATACTTAAAAAGTATTCAACATCATTAGCCATCAGAAAAATGTAAATTAAAACTACATTGAGATTCCATCTCACCCCAGTCAGAATGGCTATCATCAGGAAAACAAATGACAGATCTGGCATGGTGGCACATGCCTTTAATCCCAGCACTTGGCAGGCAGATTTCTGTGAGATCCCAGACCTCAGACTCACTATGTAGTTCAAGGATAACCAATCCTATTGCCTCCCTCACCTCAGTGCTAGGATTACTGGTGTACACTCCATGACCAGTTTAATGTGGTGGCTGGAGATGGAACCAAAAGCCTTGTCCATGTCAGACAAGCACTCTATAGCTGACCATATCTGCAGGCTCACAAAATGTTTTTTTTATTTTTATTTTTAACATTTATTAAGTAACAGAATGAGGAACAGTGAGCAACGATCTTGAAGCCTGATGATGTAGATAGGAGATTGCTCTCACTCTCAGTGTAACTTATACTTAAGGAATAACCAGGTTTCTTCCTCTTGAAACTGGAGGAAATACCTGTTACCCAAGACTTTTGGTTAAGGTAAATTGGGTAATTAATGTTAAAGCGCATTTCACACTTGCATGAGTCACGTGATACGTTATTCTTTAAGAAAATAGCTGCTGAGCTGGTGGCACTCTCCTTTAATGAACCCAGCACTCAAAAAAAAAATAGCTGCTTATATGTTGATTTTTTTTTTTTTTACAAAAGATTTTATTTTTATGTATATGAGTGTTTTGCCTGCATCTATATAACTGTACCTCATGTGTGCCCGGTGCCTGTCAAGGTCAGAAGAAGGCATCAGTTCCTATGGAAGTGGAGTTAAGAATGGGTTTTAGCCATCATGTGAGTGCTGGGAACAGAACCCAGGTCTTCTGGAAGACCAACTGGTGCCCTTAACTGCTGACTCAGCCCCTGCATTGATGTCTTAAAAGATATTATAAGATTGAGGCTGGAGAGATGGCTCAGCTGTTAAGAGCACTGACTGCTCTTGCAGAGGACCTGGGTTTGATTCCCACCACCCACATGGCAGCTACGAACCGTCCTTAACTCCAGTTCCAGGGAAATATGAAGCCCTCTTCTGACCTCCTCAGCATTGCACAACACGGGTGCACTCACATACATGCAGGCAATACACTCATACACATAAAATAAAAATAAATAAAATATTTTTTAAAAAGATATTGTAAGACAAAAGTAAGGCCGGAGAGGGCTCAGTCTGTGAAGTGCCTGCCACATAAGCATGAGGACCTGAGTTTGGATCCTCAGCACCCACTATCTATGAGATGGAAGCCAGCCTCGTCTACAGAGTGAGTTCCAGGCCAGCTGGGGCTATAGGGGAGACCCTGTCTCAAACAACAACAACAACCCCCCCCCCCAAAATGCTGGTTGTTTAGTTGGTGGTGGTGGTGGTGGTGATGCAGCACTCCTTTAGTTCCAGCACTTGGGGAGCGGAGGCAAGTGGATCTCAGTGAGTTTGAGGTCAGCTTGGTTTTACATAGCACGTTCTAGACCAGGGCCACACAATGATACCCTGCCTCAAAAAGACCAAAAAGAAAGAAAAATTTGGGTATGGTGGTGCATGTCTGTAACCAAGTACTGGGGAGGTGGAGACAGGCAGATCCTTGAGGTTGGCTGGCCATTCACTATAGTCTGCTTGCTGAGTTCCAAGCCAGTGAGAGAGCCTGTCAAAAAGTAAGATGGAAAGTGATCAAAAAGGGCACCCAACATGAACCTCTGGCCTCCACACATGCACACGAATTTGGTATCTGAAAGAAGCCATGTACATTAAAAATAGCATACTGATGATATAATTCGGGTAACATAAAATTTAAAAGATTGAGAATCATGAGGACTAAAACTTAGTACTTGCTGGCCATGATAGCACACACCTGTAATCTTAGCACTTGTATGGTTAAGGCAGGAGTATTGCTATGAGTTCCAGGCCAACCTGGGGTACATAGTAAGTGCTGGGATTAACTAGCAGAACTTTGTATCAAACCCCAAAAACTTAGTATTGGTTTTGCTGCTACTCAGGTATCCTGTTTGTTTTGGCAAGTTTCTCACTTCTCTTTCTTTTTCTCCCTTGTTTGATCAGGAGTCTGGACTGAGTGATTTTATAGTCTTTTTCTTAATCAAACAACAGGTGAAAAAAAAAAACTTTTCTAGGCCTGTGATTCAGTGATACAGATCTGAGCAGACTTGAGCACGCAGTTTTCCATTCTTTTTTCATTTTGCTTTGTTTGAGACAGGGTCTCCCTCTAGCCCCAGCTGGCCTGGGAGTCAATATGAAGACCAGGCTAGCCTTGATCTCACAGAGTGTTGGGATAAAAGACATGCACTACCACAATCAGCTAAGTTTTCCATTCTTTTTTTAAAAATATTTTATCTTTTTTTTTTTTTTTTTTTTTTTTTTTTTTTAAAAAAAAAAAAAAAAAAAAAAAAAAAGAGGACGTGTAGGCCAGACTGTCCTTGAACTCACAGAGATCCGCCTGCCTCTGCCTCCCAAGTGCTGGGATTAAAGGCGTGCGCCACCACGCCAGGCTATTTATCATTTTTATTTTATGTGTATGAGTATATTGCCTGCGTGCATGTGTGCGTGTGTGTGTGTGCGCATCCGTGTCATGCAATGCCCACAGAACTGGAGTTATGGACGGTTGTTAGCCACCAAGTGGGTCCTGGAATTGAACCAGGGTCCTCTGCAAGGGCAGCCAGTGCTGTAACCGCTGAGCCATCTCTCCAGTCCCCTCACAATCTATTTTTTAAAATATTTTATTATTTTTTTTATGTGTATGAGTGTATTGCCTGCATGTATGTGAGTGCACCCTTGTCGTGCAATGCCTCGGAGGTCTGAAGAGGGCTTTGGAGTCCCCTGGAACTGGAGTTAAGGATGGTTTGTAGCCACCATGTGGGTGCTGGAACTCGAACCTGGGTCCTCTGCAAGAGCAGTCAGTACCCTTAATCACTGAGCCATCTCTCCAGCCCCCCACAATCTATTTTTATACTGTTTCCTCCTGGTATTGCTTACTAGTTTCCTTTTTTAGTCTAGGTCTAAAGGCTTATTTAGATTCAGGTTAAATATTTTGGGCAAGATATGTCATAGCCCAGGCTGTGTGCTTCATATTATATTAAAACTGGAATATGCCTATTAAATTTAATAAATTAACCACTTTTAGGTATACAGTTAAGTAGTGTTAAATATATACACATTATTGTGCAACAAATCTCTAGAATTTTTTCATCTTACACCACTAAAATTCTGTGCCTACTTAAAACAGTAATTCATTTCCCCCTCTCTCCTTCCTGCTTTTGTTTTGCTTCTGTTTTTGCATGGTTGCGATCAAGCTACAAAGTAAATAACATTTGTTCATTTTATCATATTAAAGTTTGTAGAATAATCCATTCTGTGGATATCTTATTTCCTTATATGGGTTTTAGTTTCTCGATATTATATGTAATAACTATAAGGGGATGGACTATGTTTCTTTTTTTAACTTTTAAAAAAAAATTTATTTCTTTTATTTTATGTGTATGCATGTATTGCTTGCATGTAGGTAAGTGCACCCGTGTCCTGCAATGCCCACAGAGGTCAGAAGAGGCTGTCAGATCCCCTGGGACTGGAGTTATGGACAGTGCCGTGTGGGTGCTGGGATTTGAACCCGGGTCTTCTGCCAGAACAACCAGTGTTCTTAACCACTGAGCCATCTCTCCAGCCCTGAGATTCATTCTTTTTAAAAAAATTTTATTTATTATTATCATTTTTTTATGTGTATGTTTGTATTGCCTGCATGTAGGTAAGTGCACCTGTGTCCTGCAATGCCTGCGGAGATCAGAAGAGGCTGTCGGATGCCCTGGGACTGGAATTATGGACAGTGCTGCCATGTGGGTGCTGGGATTCAAACCTGGTCTTCTGCAAGAACAACCAGTGTTCTTAACTGATGAGCCATCTCTCCAGCCCCAGGACTATTTTTCTTAAATCATTGATCCAATTCTCATTGGACCCAGTTATTCTGAAAGCAGAGAGATAATCCCTTCCCATTAGCCTGAGGACTGAGTAGAACATTTTCTGTTCTCATTATCTCCTTTATTTCTTTTCCCCTTCCCTTGTTCCTAACTTTCCCTCCTCTGCTTTGGCCCCTTGTCCCTTAGGTAAGTCAAATCTCATGGATGCCATCAGCTTTGTGCTTGGTGAGAAAACCAGCAACTTGCGAGTAAAGACCCTGAGGGACCTGATCCATGGAGCGCCTGTGGGGAAGCCAGCTGCTAACCGGGCTTTTGTCAGCATGGTCTACTCTGAGGAGGGCGCTGAGGACCGCACCTTTGCCCGTGTCATTGTAGGTGAGTGTGGCTGGACAGAAGACTCTTTGGACCCAAGGAAGTAGATAGACCAGTTGCTAGGATAGGAGGAATGCCAGATCCTCGCTGACTCATTTATTGTCTTGTAGGGGGCTCCTCTGAGTACAAGATCAACAACAAAGTGGTCCAGCTTCATGAATACAGTGAGGAGTTAGAGAAGTTGGGCATTCTTATCAAAGCTCGTAACTTCCTCGTCTTTCAGGTGGGCATTTGAGAAAATAGTTACTGACTTTTTGCTCTTAGCCCTTCTCCCACATCGCCACTTGGTCTGTTCTATCTCAAGAGTTCATCATGTCTTCTTTGGACTAATGAAGCTCATTCTTTAGTTGGTGTCCTAAGTCCAGTCTGGCTGCTTCTAGTTTATTCCCGTAGCTAGGTTTATATCTTAGAAGAGTACAAGCCTTTTTCCTCCTTTCCTTAAAGCAGTTAAGAGATGCCTTCTTGCCTTAGGATAGTGGTTCTTAAATTGTAGCTCCTAGACTATCAATGTCAGTATCACTTGGGACTATGTTACAAATGCACATTCTCAGGCTCCATTCCAGAAATAGGGGCTAAGACTGGGGTGGGACACAGTGTGTTATGCCAAGCTCGCCGTGTTGTTGTGATACCATTTGAAGATTGAGAACAATTAACAGGATGAAAAGCCAACTTCCAAGCCTGTCATTCACAAAATATTATCAATTGATAGTCCCTATTGCCCAATTGAGTAGCTTCATCTGCCAACAGGCTCTCACTCAACCTTGTATTCTATTCTAATTAAACCATTTGCAGTTCTCCAGATTCGCTTCCTATCTTCAGCATGCAGTCTTTGCCTATTAATTTCCCTGTATGGAACTGTGGAGTGACCTTTTCTGTCTTTGATTTGGGGGGGGGGGTTGTTTGTATATATTTGAGGTGCTAGGGATCAAACCCAGTGCCTCTCACATGCTAAGTAAGTGTTCTACTACTGAGCTATGTGCTGCTATGAGCAACCTGCTTTCTTCTTTTCCTGGTTACTTTTCCTCTAGTTTCAAAGTCAGCTTAGATGTCACCTGTGCAAGGCCTTCCCCAATAAAATTCCCTATGTAAGTTTCTTGCCTCTCAAGCTTCAAATTTCTGGGTTGCTTTAGTCATTGTACATAATATGTATTTGTGTTACCATTGTGTTTATCTCTTTGGCTGTCTGCTCAAATGCAGAGAATGTGCGCTTTAGCCTAGTGTGGCTGGGCCTGGTAGCTCAGGCCTATAATCTTAACTAAAGTAGGAAGAGTGTAAGTTCAGGGTCTGCCTGGACTACACACAGAGTTCAAGTGCAGCCTAGGCAACTTGGTGAGACCCTGTCTCAAAATAAGAAATAATCAAAGGACAGGAGATATGGCTTAGTAGCTTAGTGATAGAGTGCTTACCTAACTTTAATCCTCAGTACTCCCCCTCACCCCCCAAAAAACTGAGATGTGGCACCAGTTGGGGAGAGGAGGGTTGGTAACCTTTTGAATAAGGACAAGTGAGCAGGGTGAATTGAGCTGGCAAATGTCTAAATGAGACAGTGTTTTGACCTTTATCAGGGTGCAGTGGAGTCTATTGCCATGAAGAACCCCAAAGAGAGGACAGCTCTATTTGAAGAGATCAGTCGCTCTGGGGAGTTAGCACAAGAGTATGACAAGCGAAAGAAGGAAATGGTGAAGGCTGAAGAGGACACGCAGTTTAATTACCATCGCAAGAAAAATATTGCAGCTGAACGCAAGGAGGCCAAACAAGAGAAAGAAGAGGTTGGTGGCCAGGCTGCATCTTGATCTGAAGGACCAAGATAGAGGCAATGTCTTACTGATACACCCATGTCCCCATTCCTGTTTGCATAGGCGGATCGCTACCAGCGCCTGAAGGATGAGGTGGTGCGAGCACAGGTACAGTTGCAGCTCTTTAAGCTTTACCATAATGAAGTGGAAATTGAGAAGCTAAACAAGGAACTGGCCTCTAAGAACAAGGAGATTGAGAAGGACAAAAAGCGAATGGACAAGGTTGAGGATGAGCTGAAGGAGAAGAAGAAAGAGCTGGGCAAAATGATGCGGGAACAGCAGCAGATTGAGAAGGAGATCAAGTAAGAGGCAGGCCTTGGCCTGGAACATGTGGGAAGCCATGAGGCTGTGTTATTTCCTTGTGATCCTCTGATCTTAGAGTCTCCTATGTATACTAATTTATCTTCCTCTTGGCTTAGTTTAGCCAGAACCAGGCATGTTTCTTTTTTTAAGCTTAAAAATTTTTTTTGTAGCCAGGTGTGGTGGTGCAGGCCTTTAATCCCAGTACAGTGGAGGCAGGCAGATCTCTGAGTTCAAGGCCAGCCTGGTCTACATAGTGAGT